ACCTCGGTCGAGCACCCTCAAACCAACAGACAAGCAGAGGCCGCCAACAGAGTCATCCTGTGAGGACTCAAACGTCGGCTCGGTGAAGCTAAAAGAGGGTGGGTCGAGGAGCTGCACAGCATTTTATGGGCTTATCGCACCACGCCCCATTCAAGGACGGGCGAAACCCCCTTTCGACTAACATATGGCACCGAGGCTGTCATCCCCATAGAAATCAAGGAACCCTTCAGGCGGACAAAAATGCCCCTCGATGAAGAAATGAACAACGAAGCACTCCGGGACGAACTCGACTTGGTCGAGGAAATTTGTTCAGAGGCAACCCTGCGTGAGGCCACTCTAAAACAATGAGTGGCCCTGCGTCACAATGACAAGGTCATCAAACGCGAGTTCAAGATCGGAAGCCTGGTATTACGAAGAAACCAGAAAGACTCCCGCGAACTGGGAAGGGCCCTATCGCATCCACGACACCACAGGCACCGGGGCATACTACCTCGAGCAGCTAGACGGAGAACCATTACCACGACCCTGGAACGCTGCTAAACTAAAGCAGTACTATAGCTAAAAACCCTTAAACACTAAGGACTCTCGCCGTCGAACATCCACATCTAGTCAACAGAGAGAAATGTCTCGACCACGTAGATAGGCCAAGGTACGGGCCCAATCTATGCCAAACGTCATAACGCCGTTCAGCCAAACGAAGACGAACGACGATGCCCGACAGGGACACCTCAATCGAGCTCCATTGTCGAAGTACCCACATGGCAGAACACCCAGCTCGCAATGGGCAGTTCACGCCACGGGCATATGACCTTGATCTGGGTCATACACTCGAGCAGGCGGGCTTGACTCCGCACGACCGACGCATTTCGAAGTACGTCGGACCACCAAATGGGTCGAAAGGATCTCCACTCGAGGACATAACTTAGGCAAATTTTGCCACAAAGTAACAGTCGAATACAAGCGTGTCTCGAGGACATAACTTAGACAAATTTCGTCACAATATAAAATTTAGACACGAGCAAGTTTAAAATTAAAATGAACATCCATTTAAAAGCTCATACACAAAACGAATAAAAAAGAACCGACCAAAAAGGCCAACGATGTTCGGAGTTACAGGCTATGGCACAACGGCCAAAGGAAATATGTACGGGCACGTAGGCCCCAAAAATAAGCACGGACACGCAGGCCCCAAAACAAATACCAATAAACGGGCACGCAGGCCCGACCAGAAACTCCACGACTAAATGTTCCCGGGACTACCGGCATCCACCATAGGAGACTCAGGAGGGGGCACGACCTGGCCGTCAATAATCTGAGACATGAAACCCACTTCCTCGGTATTCATGGCCGGACTCAGTAGGGCGAGATGGCTGACCGCGGCCTCAAACTTGTCCGCTAAAGCACCGACACAGTCCGTTTCGAGGAGATGGATGCGCGTGACCAGGTCCGAACGGGTCCGCAAAGGGGCTGTCTCCTCCGAATCGTCTTCAGCAGGAAGCATAGCAGCTTTCAGCTCCTCGACTTCCTTAGACAAACGTTCGTTGTCAACCTCCAAGCGTTCCTTATCCAGTCGAAGGCAATCCCTCTCCTCAGCAACCTTCTCGGAGTTCTCCTTCTCCCCCGCCAGCAGGTCGGCTTGTTCGCGAAACATTTCCTCGGATCGCTCGAGGGCCGCCTTTAACTTACGAGAGCTGGCAGCGAGGGCAGATTTCTCTGACTCCAACTCCCTGACGCGATCCGATGAGTCCGACCCTTCCTCGGCAAGGACAACGGCCATCTCAGCCATCTTCACCATCCCGACCATACTGGCGGCCAGGTGTTTTCTCCGGCTTTCTTTGTTGAGCCGCCTGATGGTCTCGGCCTCGTCGTTGCTCACCATCAGGGGAAACCCCTCAAAAAAATATTTCTCTTTGAAACAGGGGGGTAAGCCGAAGGCCCTCGCAGCAACAGACTCGTCGCCAACCTCCAACTTATTATCTTCCCGACTTCTCTTTCTCGTAATCAGCTCAGTGGGCTGCTCAGCATCAGGGGAGCCCGGGGACCCACTAGAGGCATCGCCCGAGCTGGTCGGCGGGCCCATCCTCGTGGCCTGTGGAGCTCGCACCAGCCTTTTGTTTACTCTTTTGTCCTGAGTCAGTTTCAAAAGCCTCTTCCTTTGTTCAGCCATGTCGCCTGCAAAGAAGAGCAAAACTCGGGTTAGTTGCGAGCAAGCAAAAAACAACGAAAATGGAATAAAACAACAAAACAAAAGCAAGAAACCTAGTAGATCTACGGCCTGCCCGTAAGATTGGCACTCAATGAACGCTTTGGTGTCGATGGGACGGGCCTCGAACGTCGGGTACCCATCCTCAACAAGAATATCTTCCCCCTCCCTCGTGACCCACCGGGCATGGAAGAAACTGTCGACATACTTGCAAAGGATACCATAGGCTTCTTCATCCTCGGCGCCCATGCTTCCCGCGGGCGTATGATAGTACCCGGTACCATGGTCGTAATGGCCTGAGCACCAATGTAACGGGAACTTAGATACGCGCCCCATTGTCGGACGACCCTCGGCATCCATGAGGGGCTCCCCGTCCTCGTTGACTACCGCAATTTCCTCTTCATACATAAGAATCCAAGGCAGTTTGGGTGACCGACTGCAGAACGTACCACTTGTCCTTGAAGCCCCGGACCGAATCCATATACATCCTGAACAACCTCTTCGACTGTTTCAGGGAAACCCAGCTATGCCTGCCTCCTCGAGACTGACGCTGCAGGTGAAAAACCCTGAAGAAAAGGGGAATGGTCGCCCCGATCCTTAAGAAGCGGCATGTCAGCTCGAACGCCCGAAGGAAGGCGATCGAATTAGAATGAAGCTACGAAGGGGCCAAGTTCAGATGGCAGAACACCCCGACTTGAAAATCACTGAATGGGAGATTAAGACCGAGATCCCTAAACACGATCTCGTACATTGGAAACCCATACTCGGTGAACTCCGAGCAGATTCGTGCATCGATGGACGGCCTCGTCACAATAAAATTCTTCTGGAAACCCGACTGACTATCGCCGTGTTCGACGGCAGTATATGCGCCCTGACTATGCCGACAATACGCCGAGGCAATCCCTCGAGGCTCGGCGCCCACCCAATCCAACGAGGGGTCATCGACGGTATCAACTAAAGTCACGTTCTCCTTGGTACTCTGGTCCTCGACTTCATTTTGCCTCGAAGATTCCGGTTCGTCGGCCATTTACCTGCAAAGCACGAGAAACCGGTGAAATTCAAGAGCAAATCCGCATGCTCGCCAGTGACGGGAAGTAGTGCGCGATAAGCCAAACACGGACACCCCAGCTCGACCAGGCGTCAGGAACAACAAGAGAGTAGCATGAACACCCCGGGCGATAAACATGGATGACTCGAACAAGGTCCTGACTTCGCCTTCCCGACACTAAGATGCTACAACGAGTTGTCCTACATACTTCCTAAGGGGTCAACATCCCGGCCAGCTCATGGGTGCGTCGACCAAAACTATGAATGTGACGGGCAATATCGTAGATCATATGCCTAGAACTACGAATGTCGCAGGCAGTATCATAGATTATGCGCCTAAAACCATGAAGGTCACGGGCAACATTGCGAGTCACGTACCTAAAACTATGGATTTACCGAGAACAATCATGAATCTACCGGACACCACTCCCAGATACGGGTTTCTAACATCCAAATAACACCAAAACTACCTAAGACGGAGAAAAACAGGGAGAATGAACACTTACTTGGAAGAAAAGAAGAATGTACGGCAACGATGAGAGTAGTCAACGGAGGATGGTGCAGTAATCTCACGGTGTTGCAGAAAACAACGGCAGCGGAAGCAGAGGAAGAGGGAGAAGCGCGAAGAAGGAAAATAAATTATGGGACCCAAGGATCCTATTTATAGGGGTGACGTGGAATACGAAACATCGCCCTGGGGAGCCACGAACTTCCCCTCCTCGACATCTACTCCCCTAGGCAATGATGACCCTATCGTCGTTAGGGTGGCGTCACGGTTCCCAAGGATTGCCTCGTGTATCCAACAAACACAACCTGTGAGGAATTCCCCGAGAACGCGTCGACGAGGATTACGTTACGAACACAACCCGTGAGAAACTCCTCGAGTGCGCATCAGGAAGCAATATCCTGGTCCGGGCATCAGATCCCCGTGGTAAAGACGAGCTGAAGTCAAGTCATAACTCCTACTCCAGGAGCAACGACTTGGGGGGCTCCTGTTCTGGACTGGGCCCACCCTGGCTCAAAGTGCAGATAAAGGCCCAATCCAAGCAAACTCCTCGAGGAATGCGCACCCGCGGATCACCGCCGACGTGCCCGACCGCAGACTGTAGCCATGCCCGCCATTGCCCGCAACACATGGTGTCCCTGACCAAAGAAACTTCTGCTCGAGCACTCTCCCCGTAGGGCAGAATCTGTCCTCTCAGACCGTTATCGAATCATCTAAACTCCAGAAAGACCGCGTCTTCGTCCCTCCTCATTCTTCGCAGAGCATCACCAGGAAGGGGACCACGTGCGGGGCCCCACTACATACGTAGAACCTGACAGTTCCTTTATTGGGCCAGTTCTGGTCGGTCCAATGAGGGGACCTTGGCCCAGCGCTGGGGGCTATAAATACCCTTTGTTCCTAGAGGGTCAGATATTCATCTCTTACGCATCTATACACTTTTTGCCTGCTCATTCCGTCACTCATTTTAGCATCGGAGTGTCTTGCAGGTACCCCCCTCATCTCACTCAAATTCTGTCTGAATCAGTCGTGACGGTTCAAGTCTGATCAGGTAAGATCAGAAGATATTATGCCAACATTTCTTATAGTTATATTCAAAGTTAACTCCTCTTCTCCGATCTCTATATTCAACTGGGTGATAGAGATATTTTAACAAATAATTGGTGGACAAAAGCTGATAACAGATTGTTGGTTCATTAAAATTTATCAGATCTACTGTATTTTTATGTTCTTTATTCATTGAACAAAATGCATTTTCTTTATCATATGAGAGATGAAAGTGTTAAAAAGGTTTGAATCAAACCATTTATTATGTTTAAAATATAGTAATGTTTGTTCTGTTTATATTTCTTATGACACTGTTAAATTTTTTCGTTCATTTTTTTTTTGCAAACTAATTTAACAATCACGTGACTGAAAATTTTCAAAATTAATTTTATTGTAGGGAGGTTTATAAGCCCCACATCTTTTATATATATATATATATATATATATATATATATTTTGATGTGTTGCCTTTTAATGATGTGGTTTTTTTTTTTGATGTGGTTTTTTTTGATGTGTTGCCTTTTAATGATGTGGGGTATCACATCAACTTCCTTATATTTTAAATAGATGTTAAAAACTAATATTGTGGAGATAAAAATTTAGAAGGATTATTTTTATAAAAAAATTGAGAAACTAAAATTGAATATTGAAATATTTATAAAAATCTCAAACATATTTAATTTTTTTTTATAAATGTATCTATCCAATTTTTACAAACGTATCTACCCAATTTTGACTGGAAGATTTATTTTAGTAGATTTATTTTTTAAGATATTGTAAAAAAAAAATTTACAATTTAAAGTGGAGTATTTAGCAAATTTGAATGCACTAAAAATAAGTAAGATTATGTAAAAAGGGATATTCTGTAAAAAAAACAAAAAAATTAGTAAACTTAAATTAATGTAATGCATCTAGACGTAATCAGCGAACTTTTCTTTTTCTTATGTTAAATAAATGAAATATATATATATATACAAATAAAATAGTACCAATGTTTTCGGATTACAACCGTGGAATTTCATATTTCTCTGGTAAGCAACGTTACACGTCGTCGTTTTGACACAGTCGGTTCAATTCTTCAATCCATACCGTGATTCAGAATCATTTCTCAATTTCGTTTTCAGAATTTCGTCAACGAACCTCACTCTCCTCTGTTGCTGCATGTCATCATGGCCTCAAGTTCAGGTATATTTCAATTTCTCTCACCACTTCGTTTTTCACATTCTTTCGTGTTTTTAGATTTTCAATTGATCATCTATTCTTGAACAAAATTTAATAATCTTGGACTTTAGGTCTGTAATTATTTTTCAATGGTTTTAATTTGGGGATTTTAATTATTTGGTGTGACGAGTGATTAGTTTTGAGCATTTTATTGTTGAAATTGGAAGGATTAACGGTTTGATTAATTATTAAAGTCAAAATGTGTCTTCGTTTTTTTTTGTTGATGTAGATTTTGCTTTAACTGTACCTTCTGAACTGGAATCAGCTTTCAAGTTGAAGACGGTTAATTACTTTGTTACAAGGAGGCCATGGCTTGGTATTTTCATGCTTATGCAATGATTATTTTAGAATTGTTTGTTTGGTTTTAGATTTTTTTGTCAAATTCAGTTCTTATTGTTTGTATGTGTTTTGTTTAAAGATCTTTATGGAGTTAATGTGAGACCTGTTGCGCCGTTTGGAAGTACAAGTAGAAAGCCTTATGTGGATTCTGCACTTATACATCGTGCTTTACCAGATGAGCTGCTCTTTGAGGTATTTTATTTGACATGACGTAGCTATATTATTTGGTCACGACTTTTTGACATTGTGTGAGACTAGTTATATAATGTGCGGGAGTAGTTGCTTTTATTTGCAAGGTTGTCAAAATTATGATCTAGATCTTAAAATCTTACGATTTTGTGATCCCACTCACCTTCAACTATTCCAATCTTAAGTATAATCATCTGTTGTAGCCAAATTGTGAAAAAAATTCGTAAAACCATTGATTATGAACGATCTTGGCCAGTTCCAGCCACGATCGACTTTCCACCACCATTATGAGAAGTATGACAAGATGCAGAAGCGCAACAATTACAGTTTGACGGAGGCCATTTTCCCACTAATACACTTGCATACCAAAATATCATGTAAAAAAACTTCAAATATATAGTATTGTTTTTTCGTTTTAGTAATATCTTACGATTTTTGTTACGCTCGTATGTTTTACGATCTTGCTACTCCCTCCTGATCTTACAAAAACAATTGGGTAGGAATCTTCGGATTTTAGTTACGATATTATGTTTTTTGATCTTACTATTCCCTTCCGATCTTATGCAAGATCCCGATCTCGACAACCTTTGTGCTGTATGCTTCTACTTAATATCATTCATATGCAATAATTTTGATGTGATTCTGTTGGGTCATTTTTATGAAATAACGTTGGAACACTTTACCAAATCTCTCCATATAGATGTAATTTATAAGAAGGCATCATTTTTACAATATTAAATAATCATCTCTCTTTTTCTCTTGCACATTTTATTGACTGTATTGTGTGCATTATCGTTGGTCCTACAGCTTTGAGCACCGAAACTGTTCTTAATATAAGAACCAGAATGTGGATAAGATATTATGAGTCTCCTTTTTAGGCCTTTAGACTGATTTTTGGAAAAAACAGATGTGTGAAAATTCATGCACCGATAGTTTTTAACAAGAGCATCTCTCTAAGAGATTATTGAACATATTTTGCAGGTCTTTGCTCGAATGACTCCATATGATTTGGGAAAAGCATCTTGCGTGTGTCGTAAGTGGCGGTATACAGTCCGTAACCCTGCATTTTGGCGCAACGCATGCTTGAAGGGTTGGCAGGTAAGGTCAATGGAGGTTTAGAATATGGAACTTTTGTTTGTTATAAAGTTAATTTCTGATTATGGAGCCTCTTTATGAAGCTCTCTGGAGCGGTTGAAAACTATAAGATACTTCAATCAAAATATGACGGGTCATGGCGGAAAATGTGGCATTTACGACCAAGGTTGCGAACTGATGGTACGAGCTGTTGTTTTTTTCATAGCCTTATTTCCTGCTTCTCATATTGATTGGCATCTCGTGATGGTTCAATTTTTTATTCTAGCTGAAACAAATATTGCATGGAAATGTATTCTATTTAAAGGTGTGATTTTCATGTAGATTATATGATTTCCTCTCTCCTTTTTGCAAAAGACAAAAAATAATCATATGCAAATGGCTGTTAATATCACGCTTACAAGAGATTTGCATGATTATACCATTCCTTTTCTGGTCTACTATTTTGTCAATGTCGCATTGTCTGATTACGGTCCTGCATCGCAGGTCTTTATGCAAGTAGAAACACCTACATCCGGGCTGGAGTTGCAGAATGGAAAATCACTAATCCAGTTCACATCGTATGCATTCATGTCTACTTGTACTACTATGAAATAGAAATCCTTTTTAAATTTTGTTATTCTCTGTTCATTTCATTGTTAGTTCTGCATTAGATAGCATGTGATTAACTAGCTTAATGTCAACTATTCATCAATTTAATATCCTGGAAATAAGAAGTTAGCAGCAATGTGCATAGCTGTAAATAAGTTGGAATTTTATGGGATGTTTTTTGTTTTCTTTTTGTTGCTATTTTGTATCTTGTTTTCAAGTTCATTCACAAAAACGTGAAAATGGGAAAGTCGCTATAAAAGTTAACATATCAAGGAAAACCGAAAACAAACAATAAATGTTCCTTAGTTTTCTTAATTAGAAATCTATTTTCATCAATTTATAGTGTTAAAGTGTTATTGAAACTCAAAAACATGAATTCCTCGATGCCATAAAGTTGTTTATGACTATACAAACCCTAAATGATTTAGGAACCTAGTGTTTTTATGTGTTAAACCTTGTTCCGTAAGATGTTAAGTGCAATATGCTTGAAATTTTTAATCTACATGCCTATCATATAACCTTTTTTGTTAATCCATGTAACCTTCGGAGATTATTGATAGCAGTGATGCTGTTGTCATTTAAGTGTCAAGACTTGAGAACTGATATGCTTCTTAAACAACCAAGCCTTTCACCACAGGGTAGAGTGAATAGTACTATATGCACCTTAGGTCATACAAATTCAAGCAGAAAGTATATCATTATACTAACAATTCCTGGTTGTGACTGATAATAATTCACACAAATGGAATCATATGGCTGTAGCTGGTTCAGATTGACCCTTGAATCCTCTGCTCTTTCAAATGAGTGTTTCCTTACTTGAACGTGGGATTCATAAAAACAAATTATAGGGCCACCCATATATGTGATAAATGAAACGCCAAAATCAAAAGGAAAATTTTGAATGAAAGTGAGAACTGAATTTAAGGTATGAACTTTTGACAATGAATTTTAGAATATCATAATAGAAAGTTTAGTAAAAATCTCTAGAAAGTCTGTAAATCAAGAATTTGTATTAGAGACTTGTAGTATTAGAGTAGGGAGCTCTCCTTGTAAACCATTATAATTATTATTGTTGGGGGCCACTGGTAAGTATATTGTTCTAGTGGAATGGTTTGTAACTTGTCTAGTGTTTTTCATCCTCCGTGATGGAGGGTTTTCCATGTAAAATTTAGTTTTCATGTGATATATATACCATATGCTAATTAGTGCCTCTTTGCCATTGGGAAACATAAATTTACAAGGAGAAATCATCATTTCTTCCCCCAACTAAGCTGTGCATTTAAGAGGTTTTGTTGGACCTATTTGAAATTGTGTAAGAATGTAATTTTACATATATTTCTCAAATCTAGAGTAATAGCAAACCATTATAAATCTTGGGAAGTGTTTCATTTTTTTCCACATATTTTCTTCATATATGTAATTTCCCTCCATATTCTGCAGGTCTGTTATTTCCGGTACCTGAGATTTTTTCCTTCTGGGAGATTTCTTTACAAGGTTATAATTTGGTGCAGTTTGAATCCATTTAGAAATACATGTTTTTCCTGTATTTGATTGTATGTGAAATTGATTGTGTTATATAGAATTCTTCTCTAAAGATCAAGGATGTGGTGAAGTGCATGAACTTTCGATCATCTAAAGCAGACAGTGTCTTTGGTGGACACTACACCTTGACAGATGATAAGGTTATGTTTTTTTTTTTAATCTTCATTGTTTTCATATCTACTAGACATTTCTTTCTAGAAATTGATTGAGGCATTTGCTATTGATATTATCATTGCAGGTTGAAGCTGCTGTCTTGTATCCAGGCATGCGACCTACTGTTTTGAGGATGCGCTTGAGGTAATTGATAAATTTGCCTGATAACAATTCTAACATCTAGAACTTGAAAAGCAACATTGTATTCCATGTCTGATTAGTTTGGGATTTGATGTAACAATATGCTCTCTGCTAAGAGATAGATCAAAATACATTTGAAGTATCTTCATTAGGTGAAGGATCATGTTTTCACTTTGATCTAATGATATATATTTTTTAGATTTCGGGTTCAACAATTCCTAATTGATCCCACACGGGAACAAAAGAAGCTTGAAAGAGCAGTAGCATCCTTTTTAGTATGAAGTAAAAAGTCGTTGTTGTTTATGCATGTGAAGAGAGCAAACATAGGAAAAAAGGGTATGATTGTTTTTAGGAATAACTGTGTTGGTTGACATTCGTGTACTTTCAGCGAGGCTTCTTGTTGTGCGTTAACATCTGTACCAAGTTTGATAATTAGGGGCAGGACCTTTGAAATGTGGCATATGTAGTAATAAAAGAACAATAAGTTAATCGTGAATAATCAATAGAGGTCGAACTCGGAAGGTTAAAGTGGAACAGTTAAAATTTAGGCCAAATCCTTCGTGAGACTTCAGGTAAGCAACCTTTACCTAATTTTGAAGCCAAACGCACTGATTAATAATTACATTAGTTCCCTATAACATTTTGTTAGATGGGTTGACTAGCATCCTACCCATCCTTTACACGTCTTAAGTAAAACTACAACCACCCTAATTTATTGCAAGGTTACATGCTTGTGTGACTCACATCACATTTTAAATGATTTTGGATGAACATAGTTGACCCAGAACAGCTAGGGTGTTTATAATCAGAATCAACTGATCCAGAGATTGGAGGAGTTAGTTAAACTATATCTAGCAAGGAAGTTAGATAAACATTTCAATCTCGTTAGAAGAGTCGGTAAATGACCCTAGTTGTAATGTTACCATAAAGATTGCATGATGATATAACATCCAAAGAGTCGGACTTGAGAAGAATTTACAGAAATGCTATATCACAACCACAATTAAGCCTGAATATTAGCTGTTAAGTGAGTACCGACTATCAAAGGAAGTAAAATAGCAAGGGAGTGTGGTTGACCATGGTAGAACCCAAATTAAAGAGTAGTTATAGTATTATTGATTGAAAAGATAAGCAATATTACAGAAGCAAAGTCTGCAGTTCCAGAGCTAAGCTCCTCGAAGAAGAGATGATTCTCACTCTGTCCAAAGCTCTTAAGGTCCTAACCGGAAGTTACCGAATGAACCCCCCTTGCCATGCCCACTTTTTATAACGATGATGCATTTCATGAAGGCTCCAACTACTGCCATGTCATCAATTCTTCTCTAATTCCACAGTCAGCTTAGTTGTAGGGCTTAGGTTAGGCTCAAACTCAGTGTCATATCAGACAACTACAAATGAAACACAAGAGATACTGTATAAACAAATATGGAATGGGTAGGGATTTAATTATTACCCAAGTATACCTTTTTTTTTTACAAATATGGAATGGGTGGGGATTTAATTATTACCTAAGTATCCTTTTTTCTTCTTCAAGTTTGAAGTGTATAGTAATTGTCTGTCTCTCAGCCTATCTAAACATGAATGTTCAACTGATTTAACATTTAGTACGCATGATAAATTGATAATCCAAATAATATCACATGACCTAATGGGAATGTTTGTTGAGTTCGTTTTAGAAAAAGTTAATAAATTTGGAGTAAGTGGTTCCTCTAAAATAATTAATCCCTATATATCTGGACTATTGTACGACAATCACCTTAAACAAGTCAACAAAATCACTTCTAATAGTATAAGAAAGTTAGAATGAAATCATCAAAATCCAAAAAGTATATGTGATTTATCCTTCTTTATCTTATATCACATCACTCACACTGACTTTTTCATAGTTGTGAAAAAAGTTGTTATTTCATGAAACTGAACAGTTCTGTATTGAAAAATGGAATGCATAAGCGAATAGAAGAGTTTTGTATCCTCTGAAAGTAACTTGAATTTAAACAAGGAAAGTCTCTGGTTTATCGAAAATTTCCTGTTTTTGTTATTTTTTTTATAATACTCACACTATTATGTAGCACAAGTAATATGTCAAAAAAGAGTTGGACTTGCATTATGCAGTATGCTTATTTGGATCTACCTGTGGTATAGGTTAAGAGGAACAACAACAGGGGCCAACAATAGGATGGATTTGATCTCACTTGTCACCAGTGGTGTGAACACTAACGAGGCAAGTGCATATGAGGAGGACATTCTTGGAGTCGTTGAAGGATGGCAGGATGATGAAACACACAACCCAGATGTGCCAGCAGTCTCACATAAGAGGGGCATGACCCCTTTTGTCTTTGTTCCATTTGAAGAGGTACACTTTTGTCTTTACTTGTCGGCTTTCTCGGACTAAATTGAGGAATAAACATTTAAATGAGCCCCTGGCTTCATTGAACATTGAATCTCAGTTTTTGCCTTTTTGTTTAGGTGGAGACATCTGTTTTGAATTTGCCCGTGGAGAAAATGGATTATTATGTTCCTGGTTGAATGATGTCCAAAGAATATATCTGGTTCAGTTGTAAATATTTCGTATGTTGAAATATAAGGTCATAATAATGTGTACTTCCATGTATGTACAACTAAGGGGTGACGAGAATGATTCTGGCTCATGTTGTGGTATTTATCTTTTGTTTTGCTTTGTGCATCTAGAGAGCCACAAACGGTTTGTACATAATGGAAAGAATTGTAATTGTAATCTGTTACATAAGATGAAGGATAAAGCCGGGAGCACTTGTAGAATATTAATTTTTAATTACATAAGATGGCATTGATGTGTGACCTTCATGCATCAGAAGGTCCTTCTACTGTAAGCTTCAAATCTTTCAATTTAGTATTCAATTCTCTAAAAACTATTAAGTTGGTATCTGTTAGGTTCGTTTGTTTGTGTGAACGTGCATTAACCCTCCGAACACCCATGTTGTGGGTAGTGTTGGCCGTGCATTGGACGCTCTACCACGCATCGTTTGGGAGATGAACTACTACTAGCAACACAGTTGAGATTCAGAATGTGTAAACACGATAATGTGTGATAAGGACAAGAGCACCAAGAAGATCTTCCTTGAGGGGTATAATGATTGTGGAGAGGCATTTGAAGCAAGTTGTGAGACTAGTTGTGATATAATTAGTTAGAATATAAGGCCCAAGGAAAATGGGGAGATTCGCATGAGGAAGAAGAAAGCATGGTGATTCATGAATGGCAATTTCAAATTACGTGGGACATACTTATGAAAACTCCAAAATATTTTTGGGGTTTATTCGGAGATATATCTCTGAAAGCACTAAATATTTTTTTTGTCTAGATTTAGCTTGGAGATGTATTTTCAAATAAATTCAAGGTTAATTCGCAGATATATTTTCGAAGTCACATTTCTTCCTTAGTAAATCAAACAACTATCTCATTTCTTACGGAAATAGTTCGGAGATGTATCTTTGAACTATGCGTGGAATAAATTCAGAGATACATCTATGAATTTTTGCCTGAATGTTTCTTGTGCAGAAACCATGTACTAAAATTGAAGTTTTTTCAATCCAAAATAATTTTAATTCGTTTAACATTATCATTATTTATTTCAAAGATTAATAAAAATTAATATCATAGAACTGAGTAATGCATTAATTAATCTGAAATACTATTATAGTACAAAAATTATTCTCCAAGTCGATGAAAAATATACAAAATACAATCAAATGCATAGACTACTGAGTATGTCTAATTCTAACATCCTGACTCCTCCTCCACTGAGATGTGGCTTCCACCCTCCGATATTCCTCTAATACCAAACGACTCTCAAAATCTGCTAGAATACCATCCAGTTGTCTGTGGACAATATTTCCAAGAGCAACCTAAAAGGGGGACCTCACAATGATTTGCACGTATCCAAACTGTCGCATACACCGCTCTAGCAAATACATGTACGTGATATTAGTCTCACATGCCAGCCATCCGTAGTATAATGAAATATGATTGAATGAAATTTTATTCCGGTGACTGATATATGACATCCAGACGACGTCATCATGCTGAGTGCAATATATGAATAGAACGACACCACATCATCATTCTCTCTGCGCGGGAGATACAACAAGCACGTGGGTAATCCTGAATATACGATGGGTCATACCTAAACTCGTGTATGCGGTGATAGTGGGCAAGGATCCATTCCTGAAAATGAATAAGAAAAAAAATAGTAACAAGTGTGAAAAAATGTTGTTTTTAACTTAATTGTTGGATTCGGAAATTATCGTAAATAGAGTGCATGAGCTTGTCATTTGCTTAGTAGTCCAACGAGAACATTTATTCAGCTTGGAGTAGATGTATATCAAACACGCGATTTTTCAGTTCCACTCATGAATGATTTTCAAGTCGATAAAATATTTGAGGTATGCCACATCCACGTAGGTGGATCAAGTATAACGTAGATAAACAACAAATTCTACCAACCAAAAGTTACAAAATAATATACTTGGTCCACCTACGTGAATGTGACATACCTCAAATATTTTATCGGCTCGGAGGAATTTGTTGTTTAACTACGTTATATAATCCAAAGTTGTTATAGTCAAGTCATGATATTTAAGTTTAATCCTAGCTAAGCACTAAGTTATATTTCACATCTACTAATTTTGATGTTCATTATACTTGTATTGTATATATAAAGTTTTGGTATGATTGAGCTCAACCATTTATGCCATAACATTGCTTGCCTCAGGACAAAGTTCTATCATCACATGAACTTATGCAGGACAGTATATTATGCACATATGTGTGTGTTTTTTATCGCAAATGTCACGGTTAACAAGGGTCACCATCGATTTTTCTTTTATCCAATAAAAGAAAATGTGAAAAAAAACATGAAAGACCTTTTAAGATGATTTTCTGAGTAAATATGGTAGGCTATGGAAAGAAAAAATGTTAGCATTATTTTTATCCGTAGTTATCTACGGACTCTTAATTGTTAGCTCTGCGCATACTTTGTAGTCTCTGTTTGATCTAATATCTGGTGGTATACTTTGATACACTCACTTTTCAATGAAGAACATAAATATCTATTAGTATCCCATTTGAAAGCTCGAGAATTAGTCAGTAGACATACTTGTTTTTGATGTTATCATGGCCACACTTGGTGAGTCAAGTTCACTAGAACTATATTCCTAGCTTCTATGAAGAATTTCCCTCTTGTGATGACAAGCAAAGGCTTACAATGGTACATCAAATCGATTTTGTTATAGGATTTCAGGTGCTAGTTCGACGATAAAGAAACTAATAAAAAATAGTCCTAGTGAAAAGATGACAGGGAACAACTAATATGGTTGTGCTTTATCACGATGTTTGCAACTGCGGTGAAGCTTATACTCTGGCTTTGCTGCAGAATCTCAAGTAACTAGATTGTCCGTACCTGTGCAGATGTAAGTGTCCCTCTATTATGATGCATGCTTTCTTGAATAAAGTAAGTACAATTGAACAAATAAAACATTCAAACATGTAAGATCACTACTTTGATGTGGTCACAAATGTAGTTGGATTAGTTGTGGCTATTCTTGGAGATAAATTTTAGTGGTGGATTGATCTGGTTGGAGAAATTTTACTTGCATTTAAACTATTACCAATTGATCTCGCAATGTCATAGAAAATGCAAGTAATTCTCATCAAAATTTAAATAAAAAAAAGAAGTTACAATATGTATATTTACCTGTGTGATTAAAACTACGAATTCTTTTCAGTGCTAATGACCTTCAAAGTAAAAATAGTTAATATAACTTCAATGCCATGAAACCACTTTATTTTTGGTAGTGATGGAAGATTTTTAAAACCAATTCTTTGTTAGTTTAACTTTACTACATCATTTGAACTTACATTAAAAATGATGCAAAATTATTTGCCAAAACCACATGCCATTATGGAGACTCTGCAGATAAAGCTTGAGAAACTTCAAGAAGTTGAGCGAGCATTTGTTCATCTCGACTTTGAGTGTGATCACAAACCAAAGCACTCAATTCTCTGTAAACTACCTAACGACCAGCCTTAACATCATCTCCCTCTTATTCTCATATCACATCTCTCTTCCAAATATAGGCAACCATTTTAGTTAAACAACTTTGTTTTGTAATGTTAATTATAATTGTTTGAAAACAACTATAGTAATTAATCATTAATATATAGATTGAGTTGTTGACTTGTTTGATTTCATTTTCTTTTGTGGTGAAGAACTGTAAGTTGAATTGATATGTTTCTTATTTTACTAGAGGAGTCGTGTCTTTGACTAAACCTTTTCAACCAAATTTTAGAAAAACCATATAAATCATGATTGTTTTTCTCATTTTTATAGAAGTGTCACTAACTTATACTTAATATTATGCCCAATTGCACATTTAAATTCTATATAGGCTTTGGTAGATGGGTTAACATTGCTTAATATAATTTATATTTCATGTTTAGAACTATCTACTTGACTAAATACCATATTAAACACTGCAATGATCTTATCCTTAATTCCGCTTCTTTTCTTCTTAAGATTTCTTATATAATTCACTATTTATGTAACAAGTTGCTATAGTCAAGTCATGATATTTAAGTTTAATCCTAGCTAAGCACTAATTTATCTCTTACATCTACTAATTTTGATGTTCATTATACTTGTATTTTATGTAGCAAGTTTTGGTATGATTCAGCCCAACCATTTATGCCATAGCATCGCTTGCCTCAGGACAAAGTTCTATCATCACAGGAACCTATGCAAGGCAATACATTATGCAGGTAAAGGATAAACTATGAAGTCTAGACTTGACACGAACACAGAATAAGACACAATCACGGATACAAGCACCTCACTAATGTAAAAAATATATGACACAAACACAACAATATATATTTTATATATTAATATAATACTATAATTTATGAGCATGATTTATAAAGAGTTTAAAATGAGAAGCAATATTAAATAATATATATATATATATATATATATATATATATATATATATATATATATATATATATATATATATATATATATATATATATATATATATATATATATATATATATATATATATATATATATATATATATATATATATATATATATATATATATATATATATATATATATATATATATATATATATATATATATATATATATATATATATATATATATATATATATATATATATATATATATATATATATATATATCACTCGATAAATTAATAACTTCTTTAGATTATATCGTATCGTGTTCACAGAGATTGGTTATTGAATCGCCGTTTGACAAATCATTCGTTAATGAATTTGGGAGTTGAATGATATAGAAAAGTATCAACAGAAAAATAATTGTAAACAAGAGAAAAAATTAAGGAAAAATTTATCAAACCTGCATATAATCTACTCACCACAGACTTAAATCTATTGACCAGTTATATTTAAACTAACAATACTCATCAATGTCACTACGTATCACTCACAACCTAAGTCATTTCTAACC